TAATGATCATATTTTTTTCATCCGAACACCATTTTGTGAAAACACGCAACGACTGACCACCGTGCAACATGCCTGCAAGATCAAACATGCTATCAGGATCACGCTTGCCCTCGTTCATTTGCTGCTGGTTATCACCATTTGTCACCTTTTTTGATGACATCCCTCGCCAAAAATTTTCGATCAGAAACAAAGGAATTTTCCTATTTAAAAAAATTATTTGAATTTACAAGATTTAAATGGAATAGTAGAATAGAGGGATTGGACTTAAGTGTCACGTGTAAGAAGACATTTTACGATACAGTCTGTCTGTGTGTGTTTCATCCCTTAGCTGTAAACACAGACAGAACTTTGCATGCGGGTAGGAGCAGGAATCATCAATACAGCCTCATACGCCGAAGCCGAGCTCTGAGGAGAGCAACAAAGCAGAAGCAGCGAAACATACCCGGTGTACTGAACAGAACCATCGGACCCGGCAAATCGGCAAAGGACTGATCAAACGGCCTGATATGCTTGAAATCAAACATATTTCGCTCAACAAACGTCCGCTTGATTTTTTCATTCGTCCAACTTATGAATAATCGATAGTACTAAAAAGATTTGAAAGATCAGAACAATCGTGTTATGAGCAAACCATTTATAACGAAATTTAGCATAATTAAGGACCTCAAAATGCCAAAACTTTTAATTTTTTAAAAAAATATGACTAGATTTTTTTCCGATAAAACGAAAAATATAGGACGGACAAACTGAACTACTCAATGATAATTCGGCTGTTAATGAGGAAAGCGCCTATAGAGAATCACGAATTCAGAATCACACAGAGTGGTGTAGTTACTCGAACAACTTCTGTTTTACTACTGTAGTTATTTTCGCTGCTATAATGATAGCGAAAACGGCTACAATGGTAAAACAGAATCTGTTCGAATAAGATACTACTAATATGCATTTAGTTTCCACTAACTTCAACTATCACAGTCGTCGTACTGACGAGGTCCAGTTGTGGTAACGGTAAGAAATGTACACGACTTAATGAACCGAAACATTTCTTATCATTATAATGATTTTGGTAAATTTTTTAGTTCTCATCCCCTATCTTCCTTTTTGATTCTTCCTATTTAATCTCTTGTTAATTATACCTTTTTAACATCTATGCAAGCTAAACAAACTTTAAATAACCCAAGTGAATCCGCTTTTTTGCTTAATAGTAACAAAAATAAACCTGATTCGCTTTTTCGGCTAGTCCCTGTGAGAAGAATATCGGGTATTTCAAATTCAT